CCAAAGTAAACCTTTCATTTCTTAAGCTGTTTTTATCACAAGCTTTTGTTTGTTTGTTTGTTTGTTTTTGTTTTTGAGACAGGATTTCTCTGTGTAGCTTTGTGCCTTTCCTGGATCTCGCTTTGTAGACCAGGCTGGCCTTGAACTCACAAAGATCCTCCTGCCTCTGCCTCCTGAGTGCTGGGATTAAAGGTGTGTGCCACCACTGCCCAGCTTAAGCTGTTTTTAATCAAGTATTTGTCACAATAATAAGTAAAGTACCTGATAATAATATTAATCTAATCTATGATACCAATATTTTTAAAAAATATATCAGGTGCATTTCTTCTCCCTTTTTATTAAACTTGTCCTTCAGTATGCCTGGGGGACTAGTTCCAAGACCTCCATAGATTAAAAAAATCCATGAATACTCAAGTGTGTTGAATAAAATGGCATAGTATTTACATAATAGCTTATATACACATTCCCCCTATATAACTTAAATTACTCCTAGACTACTTATAATACCCAATACAGTACAAGTGCTATATAAGTAGGCATTATAATGCATAATTTAGGCAATAATGGAAATAAAAAGGTCTGAGCATGTTCAAGACAGCCACACTCTTCAGAGACCTAAATACATAGTACCTGACCATCAGTTGGTTGAATCTGCAGATCTGTAGAACATAGAGATTAAAAAAAAAAAAAAAAAAAAAGCCATTATGCTCTTATTTGATGAAATACTCTCGGTAGTGAATTCCTGTGTGTCTTACCCTGGCTCTCTACTGCCCAGGCACTTGGGTCCAACCTGACCCTGGTAAAGAGAACTTTATAATTAAAAATTATGGGTCTGAAGTTGGCTGAATGCTTACGACTCTCTTACTTGTCAAGTTCATTCGCCCTAGCCATCCCTTTGGTGACGACACTGCTTAATGCAGACATCATGTGCTTTCCTAGGGATAATTTCCACTGTCCTGTGACATTCTCCTCTATGTTAGAATAAACACTCTGTGTTCTCCAGTGCCTGGCCCAAGCACCTTTTTGTGCTTCTTGGGAGTAGTGGATGTCCTGGTGATTATCAGGCATGGGCGTGGAAGAGTAAGTAAGACTCATTTCTTCAGAAAGAGCAGTCATTGTAAGAAAAGAGAATCTGGGCTTGTGTGGTCATCAATGTTTCCATCAACTTGACAGTTTATTGGAGGTATACAGTACATACAATAACATCTACAAGCCCTACCAAAGCCGCAGACTCATAACCATAAGAAATGTGCCATTATTTTGAGCTACTAGGGATCAGAATGTCTTAACATGAAGCAAAAGGTAATCTACACATAGAAGGCAGTGTAGTGTCTCAGTTCCTGTAATATCTCAGAACACATCTGACAAATGCCCTCTGACTTCAGTACCATACTTTTTGGAAATGGTAGAAGAGTCCAAAGCCATATATCTGGACGGGAGTTGCCGGAACCACATTTAATGCTTTCCTGTACCATGGTAATGCTGGTTCTTGATTGCAACAAAAAGGAGACCCACTGAGGCAATCTCTAGTTGAGGAGATAGGCAAACCTCATTACTGTAGGGGTAGGCAGGGAAGCATGTAATCAAGTCATCATCTAGGACCAGATGGGCCAACCTTGACTTTGGAACTTGTTCCAAGTATAAGGATGTTGCACAAATCCTAAATGGTCTTATAATAAAAACCCAGAGCCAGATATTGGGGTAAATGCTGAAAGATCAGAGAGACAAAGGAACAGGTCACTGCCACTTCTCACCTCTGTTAGTTATTTAGCTGCGTTGTGTTCTTACCCTGCAAGGAAGTGTCACGAAACATGACAGAATCCGCTTATAAGAGTTTATTAGAGTTAAAGGGATAGAGAGTGCGCAGGCCTGTGGGAGAGACACGTGCGTGGAGAAGAGGAAGAGAGAGAGAGAGAACCGGGAATATGGTGCTCCGCTTTAAAAACTGGCTGGGGGCGTGGCCAGGTCACGTCACTACTCCACTCGTGTGCGTAGATCACATGGTCACGTTGCACGCTTACGTGGCCATGTAACATCACGGATCCTGGTTACGAGAGATGCCCTGACCCGGAAATGCCTATCCTGACTTGGAATTGGCTAGGCGCAAGTGTCCACCTGGTATATGAGACTGTGGGGGCGTGTTGTGAACCTTTCAACCTCACCAACTCTTCAGCTGATCCTGTCTCCACGAATGCTGACTGAATTCCCTCAGTCCTTAGCCAAAAGGCTCTAGTTCCTGTCTCCTCACACCTTTCTCTGCCCAGCCATTGCTTCCTTCCTAGTGCTGGGATTAATGGTGTGTATGCTTCCCAAATACTGGGATTAAAGGTGTGAGATCTCAAGTGCTAGAATTAAAGGTGTGTGACTCCCAAGTATTGGGATTAAAGGTGTGTGCCACCACTGCCTGGCTCTTTTTCTCTCTTAGACTGAGTCAATCTCATATAGTCTAGGGTGGCTTTGAACTCACAGAGATCCAGACAGATCTCTGCCTCCAGAGTGCTAGGATTAAAGGTGTGTGCCACCACTACCTGACCTCTATGTTTAATCTAGTGGCTGGCCCTGTCCTCTGACCTTCAGGCAAGCTTTATTTGATACACAACATATCACCACATAAGAGGGCCTGCAGTTCTTAGCAGAGGTGAAATGATGGAGGGCCATTTTTCAGAGACAGATGGCCTGGTTGGATCCAGGCTCTTCCTGGTGTTAACCATGTCTTCCTGGGAAAATATTTAATCTCTCCATGCATCTGCTTTCTTATCTGATGATTCAGAAAACACCACACGTATTAATGAAGCTATAATCTATGATCATATGGACATATCATTAGCATGTTCATTATAAGGCTTCCATACCTAAATTCTGCTTCTGACTTCTCTTTCCTTCTGTCTCCTTGCTGTGACATGCACGGTTCCTCCATCACTTGAACTTCCAGACATGCATTCATCAACTCCACAAACGTCCACTGCGGCAATGATATAGGCAAGGCACTCTTACATCCCGGGATCTCAGCATTTGGGTCAGTTAGATACCCTGACCAATTGAGTAGTGAGCCAATCATTCGCCTACCCCGACCTTGTTGTTCTTGAGTCCTTTGTGCTCTTTTAACTACTAATGAAGCTCTGCCTTCTAAGCTCCTGCCCTCTATGCCCGCTGTTCACAGACACTTGGCTTCTGCTCCACAGCTCAGATCCTTGAAAGAGATATGATCACCCCAGCTATGTTTTCAAGTCAAGCCATAAAATTATTTTAGCCAGATTTTTCTGATGAATCAATCGCCCATGATCTGGTGTCCACTCTCATCCAACTCACTGTATTGTAGAGGGAGAAATGATCAGGAGGCCCAGGACCACAGGCAGCATGAATGGTGTGGGGCCTTCACCAACATGCTAACCCCATTGGAAGTCCCTAGGACAATACATTAAGGATGTGAGAGGCTAATAAAATAAGAACTTCACATTTTTGTGTTTTGCTTTTCTTTTTGATGTGGGTTGCAACAGAATCTTGTTGAGAGCCCAGTCTAGCCTGGAATTTACGGTAATCCAGGTGAGTCTTGAACTCCTGATCCTCTTGCCTCTCTCCGTAAGTGTTGATATTAGAGATACAGACGACACTGCTTCTGGTTTAAAATTGTATTCTTCACACCATCTCATTCCTGGCTTTAATTTAGAATAATTCATTGTTATTTTAAAAAGGGAGAATATGTGAGGCTACAATAGACCTCTGTGGAAGTAATAGAGCGTCTCCGAGAGTCTGTTAAATCTCACATCGCACAGGCCTAAGGAGAGTACCTTCTGGGGGTCACTCCCATCACATAGGCAACAGATGCAGGTTGGACTTTAAACAATGTCTTGGCATTGAATGTTTTAGTTTAGTTTGCCTTGTTGGAGAAACCATTGCCTTCCTTCCCATTTCTGGAGCTCTCAATTCCAGCATAGCCTGGAAACCTCCGAAGGAGTTTTCTGTGGTAGAAAGGTAGACTTGCCCCCTCAACCTTTGACAAATGAGAGTCAGTGACTGCACAGTCCAGCTACTGAATGCTTCACACAATTCTCACATGTGTTCCAACCATTGCCCATAAGTCCTCAGCTGCACTGAGGCCCAGCTGGCCATACTGTAACCTGTTCATTAGTGCAAATTTGATTATTTCTCTTGCCTACCTCACTCCTGTCCTTCTCCACCTGAATTTTCTCCAGTCATCTGCAGATAAACTATTTGTGCTGGAAACCTCGCCTCTGCTTCTGGAGAGTCACAACTTAGACACCTGCAAGATGTCACTCTAAGAAACTGAGTCTGGGTGCTTAACAAAGAAAAGAGGTTTGCGTAGCTTACGGGGTTGGAAAACGAGAAATGAAAACCAGGTAGTCCTCTCTGCTTAATCCCAGTAAGTGTGTCCTGACTGTCGCTGCCCCCACCCCCACTACACCAAAACGAAGGTAACTTGGTACAAAAGGTGAACACGTTTAAGTGGTCTCACTTTATAAGAAACTAGCTTCAAGAATTAACCAGGGTCCTGAGAGAACTATATTAACACCTTTGAGAGGCAGAAACTTCCCCTCATGACTCACCACTACCCCTACAACCTCTTAATACACGTATATGAGGACCAAGCTTCTAGCTAAGGGACCTTCAGGAGCAGACTTAAACGGAAGCACCTGACTGATATCCAAACACAGACCATCTATGCTCCTGCTCTGTAAATTGTCAAGTGCATTGGTAGTTGTTTCAGTCTGTAGCTCCACAGAAATGCAGACTGCAGATGGTGAGGTGAAGCCCTTGTGGGAGGGGCCGCTGGTGAATGGGATGCTTGCCTGCCCATTTTTGAAATGGTCCATTCTTCCATTTTAATCTCATTCATTATTGAATAATTAATAATGATTTATATGACATTGACATTTTTCCCCCAGAAATCTTGACTAACTCTTTGACAAGAGATTAATAAAGAGTGGGACTTGAGATGTCAAGTTTTTATGAACAAGTGTCCAAGGCCGTCTCTGGATGGGTATTCTTGGCTGCATTCACCACGCTCTCCAGAGACTGAAAAGCAATTGTTTAGCTGGGTAGAGAGAGCCATGCTGAATTAAATTGACCTGCGTGATACAGAAAGTAACACTGAGCACATTTTACTAAGGGGTCTTTGAAAGAAATCTATTTTATTGTAGCTGAGCATGGAAATTATTTTAAGGAAGTGATTATCTGCCTAATAATTTAAAATGCATGCATGATGTCAGCATCCAAAATTAACCAGACTAGGGGAACAACATGCTTGGTCTTGAATAAAAAGCTAAGTGCATCTTTAGTTCTTTCTCTGCTTTTTTTTTTCCTATTAGAAATATGAATTTGACTGTTTTCAAAAGCCAATTCTTATGCCTACATCCTGAAAAGAGAAGACATTTCCATTTATACTAAATGCTGACAGCCTTGCTTAATCCAGATACATATACACCTACAAGCACTTTTGTTCCAGATAGAATTGTTACCCTGAAAGGAAATTGGTGTGCTTCTTTAGGGTGGCTGGAGTTTTAAGCTTGTCTTCAATTTCAAATAACTTTATTAGAAGGCCTGGAGATAAGAGTGGACACAGTAAGGAAAGGCAGTTATTAGGATGAGAAAACCCAGTGAAGCTAGAATTCTTTCGTCCTAGGCTCTGGCTACAGCTGTTAGCTCAGATAGAGTCGGAGCCCTTCACCTTTTGGGTAGTGACTGAACAAATGTGTGTTTGAAAACCAGCTCTAGCCTGCAAGGCCCTCGACGTGTGCCATGAGACTCCCTGGACACTTGCAAAGCATTACCTTTCCTCTGGAAAGGCTTCCTCACAGACTGTTGCCAAGGTCAACGTTCTCTAAGAAAGGCAGCAACATTTTGTTTCCCTCTTCAAAGGACCTTTATGTACTAACTCACTCCCACCTGCTGTGCATGTAAATTACTCATCAGTGATTCAAATGGCATTTTGCCGCAGACCATCTGAGCCCCCTCTATGACTATGGGGTGGGTAGAAAGAGAAGAGATTGGGGGGCAGGTGTTAAGGGGTTCCATCACTTAGCATCAAACCAAGGCAAAATGGGATGGGACAGAAACAGACAAACTTCTCCCCTGAATGAGAAACTTCACCCATGATCCTTAGGTACCCATCACAGCTCTCAGTGGTCTGGAAGCGGGGTGATGATGCCAGTGTTATACTCTCCTCCAGAATTTGTTTCTGAGGAATGGTGTCTGTGGCATTTCTCACTACGGTGTTGCAGAATCAGTAAGTTTTTAGGGGAAAAGCACAGTGGATTAGTCACCTTCCAAACTGTTTTTATGAGGAAAAATGAGCCTTGGCTTGTAAGATGGAATAAAGTGAGGATGCAGAGAGAATTCTGGGAGGAGTAGGAAGAAAAGATCTCAGCTTCTCCCAGCTCGGAAATGATCCCTCCCCACAATATGTCTTCAAATTCCTGGTGACGGCTGATTGTGTCTGGTGTCGCGTCTTCAAGGTGCTCACAGTTTAGGGACCAAGGACGGTGGCTTCTTGTTCACAATGGCAGTCTAAACCACTTTGCATTAAGGATAAAAAACCTTTTTAAAGGAATGTGTCAAAATAATTACATTTTTAATGCATTCCTTGATTCCACATCACACAAGCAAGCACATCAGCCTCCCTTGAGTGGATGAAAAAATGTCTTTCTTTCAGTGAGGCCTGTACTCTGAGGTACCCACACACAAGAGTAAGGCATCCTGCGCCTGTCATGGCCGACTGGGAGGCAAAACACTAGGAGCTGAGTTTACCTGGAGCTTGGCTTTGCTGGTGTCTTCTCTTTCCTAAGAGAAATTTTTTACCCTTCAGCGGTCCTCTTGGATGCCCAGAAACACTGTCGGTATTTCCAGCATTTCCCCCACGCTTTCTCCACCCTTCCTCTTTTTAGTTGCTAAAGGCAAAGTTCTCTGAAACACTGATTATTTAACTCACAAACTGAGATTGTAAAAAGGATTAAGGGCTGACTAGATGGCTCAGCAAGTAAAGGCGCTTGCAGCACAGGCCTCATAACCTGAGTTCAAACCTCGAATCGACTCCCAAAAGCTGTCTTCTGACCTCCACATTCGGAACCTGGCATGAACACACTAGCTAGCACTCACACACACATATCACACACACACACACATCATAGGCACATCTATAATAAAAAAAAAAAGGAAATTAAAAAAAAAAAAAACAAAGGACTGAGTTGTAAGTAGCTGGAATGTAGATTTCATCATTTTGTGAAGAATTCTGTTCAAATACATTTGAAACCCATTTTTAGGATTTCACAATGGAGCCCATTAATGTTTTTCAACAGCACATTAAAAATTCAACAGCTAGGTCCTCTGTCCGCATGGCCTGTTTCCATGCAGACTACCTGGTTGGCTTAGTTTAAAATTGATACCATGAGTGGCTTGAAGTGTGTTTCATCAAATGTTTCTATCAAGTGAGATATTTAGGGAACACATCTCATTTTTCATATCCTGAATGGCCTGATGTATAAATCACCTCATCTCTATAAAGCAGGGAAATCATTTTAATTTGGTAAAGTGGGAACAGATTATTGATGTCTGTTTCTGTTTACTAATAGCATGCCAGCAACAAATAGCATTCATATCCCATAAAGCAAAAATTGCTGACTTGAGGGGAAAATAAACCCTACACACAGGCACCCATCACACACACACACACACACACACACATCCTTTTCTCTCTTCCTTACTCTTTCCTGGTGTGAGCAGAAAAAGAGCCGCTTCTAGGCATGTGAACAGAGTCAGTGAATATGGAGTTTGGAATACACTGATAACTGTGGTCTCTCTTATGGCCACTGCATTTCCCTACCATGGAAGGGTTCCATCCTGTTCTTCCCTCATCCTCCTGTGCATGTTCAAACCACAGCACCTAGAGTCCTGAGGCTTGTAACGGCTTGGTCTGCATTTGCTTTACAGTTATGCACAGATGTCTCCCAGATGTGCATTGTACCACTAGCCCGGCTCTATCTGCGTTGCTGGGAGCTGACACCGTGGCCAGTGTCTGGTGTTTCTAAGATGGTTGGAAAGCTTTGACTGGTAGGGCTGGGCAATTAAGGCCTTGGTTCCTAAGGAGCCCTTAGGATGGTGCACTTTTCTGCTACGGGAGGGATTCCCAAAAATAAGATGAACACCACGGTCCAGATCCTCCTGCTGCCAGCCTCTGGAAGCCAGTTTCAAAACATACCTTCCAGAGTGGTTTGCACACAGTGATCTAAGCATCTGAGTGTTCCTCCTGTTTGTCTTGTTATATCTAAGGGGTGGGGGAATGAATGTGACAGGCTGTTGTTTTTGTTGCAGGGGCCGGTCCCCTGGTCCCCTGCCTTGGGTTCACAGATGCTACAGAGCTGTCTTGGATCTTCAGACACCAACACATGCACACTCAGCGGGTAGAGCTTTGTGTCCCAGGCCTCCTGGGAGGAGGCAGTAAACCTTCAGATCCCAGCACAGCCCCTCAGCAACCCTCTACCCACAAACTTCTCCTAATTAAGCCAGCCGGTCTAATTATGGGGTGTTCCATCAAATATGTCTCCAGATGCTTCCGATGCAGCCCGCGGGTGCTGGTCAAAGCTGGCAAGGCTTCTGATCAAGGATGCTGGCCCTGCAAGCGCACCGCACGCACGTCCTCCTCTCGCCTGGATGCCTGGATGCGCTTGTCTCCAAGTACTGCGCAATCTGCCCTTGCTCATTTGCTCCGTTGCCTGTCGAAAGCATAGAACGTAATTACTGAAGTTAAGAAAACATCTCTGTAATTAGCTAGGCAACTCTAAGCACAAGAAATGGAAATTAGTCACAGTATCATAAATTAGTTTGTGCATACATTACATTCAAGGATCACCCTTGGGGCTCAATGTTTGCCGTCTTTGGCGGCAACCCCCTGTATCTCAATAAAGCATTCTTTCCCGGGCGAGTATGTCACAGGAAAGGGAGTTTCACTTCTCTCTCTCTCTCCCTCCCCCTCCCTCTCTCTCTCCCTCCCTCTTCTCTCATTTCTTTTGTAGTGCCCATCAGAATAAAATCTAACATTCAAGGGAGAGAAAAAGGGACGAGTAAACAGTGATTTTCTTGTTGATTTTATTTTCCTTTGTGGGGCTCTATTAACTTACAGCCATCAAAGTGTCTCCAAGCAGGGGGCTCATCAACTGCATTGTTTCAGTTATGAGGAGCAGCAGTTATAAACTCTTTAAATAACCCTGATTTTCAACTATTTTCGCAGTCCCTTCTCTTGCCAGCCAAAGCCAGGAAATTGGACTCAGGCACACACAACACAGTATTTGCATCAAAATAATTCAGCGGGCACCAGCAAGCCACAATCACATCGCTCGGAAGGAAGGAACAGAATACAAATTAAAGGAAGAATGTCAATTTTTTGCCATTAAGCTTCAATGACCATTTGAAATGGTGCAAGGCACAAAGGTTCCTGATGAGCGTCATCTAGTTTGATTATTCATACTTGTGTTTCTGCTTGAATTAAGGCAGGAGTGCTACAGCCTGTTAAGGGAAAATATTTGAATTGTAGTGAACTCTCACCTTGCCGCGCATCCATTTACTTTTCAAATGAATACTAGATAAGTTAGTGCATTTTCTAATCGGCCTGTTTTCCAGTGAGTGCCGTCATTACATACCAATTTCCTTTAGAAGTGCTTGCTAAGAAACATTAACTACTTACAAATAAGGAGCTGTCTGTCACAGGCTGCAGTTTCGAGCTCACTGCCTGCTTTCTGCGAGGGTGGTTGCTAGCTGCAGAGTCGGCATCTGCCCAGCCTGCCTTGGCTTCCAGGCCTTTCCCAGGTTCCTTGCTAGTCCTTTAGCAGCAAAGGCAGGATTTCTGCCATGTGCCACCCTCCCAGAGCCAGGCAGAAGCCTGCGATGGTTGTAGATCAAGCCATCTTGTGGCCAGTTGACCATGTCACTCCGCAGGTGCTCTGGGTCCAGCCTGGCTTCTGATCTGCTGAGGTTGACCTGGCAGGCAATGTGAATTCCGGTGCACACTTTGAATCCAAGGCTGAGTACAGGTACCATCAGCATGCCGTTGGTTTCTGGTTTGAGACTCTACAGCCAGTCAGTGAATCTGTTCAACATGAAGAAAATGGAAGAGAGAGATTGTGAAGCTTGTTTTGGGGGAGAAGTCTCATTTAAGAAATGCGTTTTAGGCTGGGCAGTGGTGGTGCTCGCCTTTAATCCCAGCACTTGGGAGGCAGAGGCAGGCAGATATCCGTGAGTTCAAGGCCAGCCTGGTCTACAGAGTGAGTTCCAGGACAGGCTCCAAAGCTACACAGAGAAAACCTGTCTCAAAAAAACAAAAACAAAAAACAAAACAAAACAAAAGAAATGTTTAAGAAATGCATTTTAGACACATTTAGCATGTAAGCAGAAACTCCCAGAATGGAGGAGGCATTAGAACATTGTTATGCCCTGTAGACCCTTCAATTGAGAAAATATTTGTGCTCAATTTTGGAGCTGGGGGGCTTGATGGTTACTAATTGGGGCCTGTACTTGGCATCACCGGGAGCTTCTTGAGGTTTCTCCATTACTGAACATTACTGCCACACATTTACCAAGACATGTCAGATACTGCTTTTCATATGTTTATGCACAGGGAATGGAATCCAGGGCTTTGTATGTGCTAAGGCAAGCACAGTCAAAGTATAGAGAAGAGAAATGCCTGAGAAACTCCCCTCCCTCCTGAAAGGAATGGAGGCCTCTAATAGTGCTGATGTGGTCATAATCCAAATGTTACTCACTTTTTAAATAGAGAAAGATTTGAAAAGATTATAATCACAAAGCCAGTTAATCCTATAACTGAATTCAAATGTCAAATGAAATATGGGCAAAGTTGGAAATGAAGGGAGATACTGAGCAGGGATCACGAGCACTCAATAGGAAAGTAGTAAAACAAACTCCCATGAAGTCAGGGCGTTGTTCTTTTTTTGTAGGGGAGCGGGGTTTTTGTTTGTTTTCTGTTTTTCAAGACAGGATTTCTCTGTGTAACAGCCCAGACTGTCCTAGAACTTACTTTATAGTTCAGGCTGATGGGAAATATAGTCCTGTATGCTGGAATGTGTTGCTCTGATTGGTTGATAAATAAAATGCTGATTGGCCAGTAGCCAGGCAGGAAGTATAGGCAGGATAAGCAGACAAGGAGAATTCTGGGAAGAGGAAGGCTGAGTCAGTAGACGTCAGCCCGCCGTCCAGGGAGCAGCATGTAATGACACACAGGTAAAGCCACGGAACACGTAGCAACATATAGATTAACAAATATGGGCTGAGTTTAAATGTAGGAGCTAGTCAGTGGTAGGCCTGAGCTAATGGCCCAGCAGTTTTAATTAATATAAGCCTCTGTGTGTTTACTTGGGTCTGAGTGGCTGCAGACCAGGCGGGACACAGAAAAACTTCAGCTATACCAGGTTGTCCTCAAACACAGAGATCCAACTGCCTCTGCCTCTGGAGTGTTGGGATTAAAGGCATGTGCTACCACTGCCTGGCCAGGACTTTATTATTAACACACACACACACACACACACACACACACACACACACACACGCATGCACGCACACACGCGTGCACACACACCATGTGGAGAGGTATCTAAAAAGGCAGTAGAGTCACTCAGCTAATTATGCATTTATAGAAATATATAAACAACTATCTAGAAAGACTGGAATGTCCAAAACCATTTTTTACTCTCCTTTTTAACTTATACATTCATCTTCATTCATATCTCAAATTCTGGCAACTTGTTTTACAATTTTTTAATATCATGCATACTTTAAAGCTTCAAAGAAATAGCTTTCATGCAAGAGAACATAGGCATTTCCCTTTTTCTGTTGCTTTAAAGACGGAGTAATATGTCTGAGAAACTGCACACACAAGATGTAAGCACCCACAAAATATAGCTGAGGGAAATGCAAATGACCCTAACTTCTCCCTGCCCTCACTACTGCCCTCCTGTAGTGCCTCCAGACATTCCTCTGTGGTTGTGTGACTTCTTTGGCCAATGGGCACCTCAGAAGAAGCACAAGCAGAGACTGCAAAGGAAGTCCTCACTCACCTCCTGCTGTGCCTGCAAATGAACTTCAGATGTCCTGCTGGACCACAAGATGCTTGAAGAAATACAGCCTGCCTGACTGCCGTACTTGTGGACAAAGCTATCATCTCCTACCCGGTCATCACACACCTTGTGGACATATATAAGCAAGGGTCTATTTGAGGTCAGCTAAGCCAGCCTGGCCTAGAAAAAACACTCAGACATTAACAGCATCAGGAGCTAGGTGCAGAGTCACAGTAAGTCCACTTTCTTAAAAATTATCTTTGGTTGTTAAATCACAAAGTCTTTTTTTCATATTGCTAAGCAATCAAAAAAAATGTAGCTGTCAACTGGTATATCAGCGATACCCTTGAATCTTGGTAGCCTGTGTGGCTATCTTCATGCCGCTGGTTGTCCACTAGTTTCACCAGTCACGTGACAAGCAGGCCCTTAGCCAGAAACACACTTCAGTTAGAAATGACACTTCTCATTGTTTTGAGGACTGCACATGTGAGATTGCATGTGGGCACACATGGGAATGTAGCATGTGACATCAGGGCCCTGTCCATGTTGCCTGAAATTTCTTGAGATTTTTTTACATGTGTGCTTTCGCTCTCAACAGACAGCTTGTGAATCTCTTTGTCAGAAGGTAGACAAACCTTGAGCATCAGAGATGCTTTGCTTGAGACCTTGAGAAAGAGAATACCTGAGGCATATCACTCAGTTTGTGATAGGTGAGCAGATGTATGAAGACTCCATGCCTGTCTCAAAGCAGGACAACTTTGGGGCATGACCCCAACTTCAAAGCCCCTGAATTGTTGAGCCAGATTTACCCTCCATCTTCTCTGGACACCATACCTTTGCTTAGTCTCAGATTGGCCCATTTCCCTTCTCTTAACTGAATTCCCCAGAATGCAATTTTATTTATTAGTTGATTGATTTTTGTTTTTACAGCATTGAGAATTAAAAACTGATCCACACCTACTCCAACAAGGACACACCTCCTAATCTCTGTCAAGTAGCACCACTCCTAACAACCAAGCATTCAAATCTATGAGCCTATAGGGTCCATTCATTTTCAAACCAACACACACACACACACACACACACACACACACACACACACAGAGAGAGAGAGAGAGAGAGAGAGAGAGAGAGAGAGAGAGAGAGAGAGAGAGATCTTCAAATAATCCAATAAAAATCATCAGAGGACTTGAACTGGTATTTTTCTAGAAATATACACATAAATACAGAAGAACGTGCTCAATATCGCTAATCCCTATGAGGATGTGGAAAAATGGAAACCCTTGCATACTGTTGGTAGGACGCAAAATGGCACACTACTGTGTAAAATAGTATAAGTGGCTCATTGAAAAAAAAACATTAAAAATAAAATTACCACATGGCCTATCTATTTTACTCCAGTATAAACTGGAAACAATGGAGACTAGCATCTAGATGAAGGGTATGTATAGCCATATTCATTACAGTCTTATTCTCCATAAATTAGAAGTAACAGCAACCCAAATGTCAATGAACAGATGAACAGGTGAAGAAGGTGTCCTTTAAAAGACATACTGGCACATGCTATAGGTTGGGGTTAACCTCAGACTTTGTGCTGAAGCAGAGAGATCTCTTAACCATGAGATCACTCTCATACAAGACATCTAGAGTAGTCAGATTCTTAGAGATGGAAAGTAGCAGTGGTTGTCAGGGACAAGAGGGAAGGAGAATGAGAAGCTGTTTAATGGTATAGGGTTTCTGTTTGCAAGAGGAAAGGGCTATGAAGACAGATGGTTACATGGCATTAGTAAGACACTTCATTCATAGCACTGAACTGAGTACTTGAGACAGACAAGGTGGAAGATTTTGTTATGACTATTTTATCACAATAAAACTGAAATTGAAAACTGAAAACAGCAGCAAAAAAATTTGTTGTGTGGCCTGGACGGGCTCCAAGACTTGACTTTGGTGATGTCACAGAAGGAGTTTGGGTTGTGAACTCTCTTGCCTTGCCATCTGCATTGCCAACTCTTCACCCAAGGGGGTCCTTATTCATCTCATTTCCAAAGTGTACTCTCTGAACGGCCATCTCCAGAACCTTCGACCTGTCTCAAGCATGCGCCATCAAGCCCAGCTTTGTGTGTGTGCAGCTGAGCTATCTCCCCAGCTTCCCATCGGCAATTCCTTCAGTCAGCTGGTTTGGGTAGTTCACACATATAACCCTAGCTCTGGAGAGGCTGAGGCAAGAGGATTGCTGTGAATCAGAAGCCAGCCTGATCTACATAGTTCCAGGCCAGCCTGGGCTCCAAAGTGAGACTGTTTTACAAAAACAAAACATAGCAAAACTTTCTGAGACAAATTCACACCAATCCTGGTCTGCCCTCAAAGTCACTATGTAGCCAAAGATGACCTTGAATTTTTGTTTTGTTTTGTTTTTGTTTTTTTAAGACAGGGTTTCTCTGTATAGACCTGACTGTCCTGGAACTCATTCTGTAGATCAGGCTGGCCTCAAACTCACAGAGATTCACTCGCCTCTGCCTCCAGAGTGCTGAGATCAAAGGTGTGCGGTACCACTGCCCAGCAACCTTGAACTTCTTTTTTTTTTTTTTTTTTTGGTTTTCCTAGTCCGGGTTTCTCTGTGTAGCTTTGCGCCTTTCCTGGATCTCCAGGCTGGCCTCAAACTCACAGAGATCCGCCTGCCTCTGCCTCCCGAGTGCTGGGATTAAAGGCGTGCGCCACCACCGCCCGGCGGACCTTGAACTTCTTATCCTCCTGTCTCTACTTCTCAACTACTGGGATTATAGGTGTGTACCTGATAGGCTTTTACAGCTCTGGGAATTTTAAACCCAGAGTTTTGTGCATGCTAGGCAAGCACTCTATCAACTGAATGATCTTCACACACCTCACCCACCCCCACCATATACACCAATAATTCTTTCAGTCAATATTTTGATGTTGGGTACTGACACTTTTAGAGACTCAGATGGATCTCATGATTCCTATCTGACATCTCAGACACAGATGAACTAAGGTAACACAC